TGTGTGTGTGTGTGTGTGTGTGTGTGTGTGTGTGTGTGTGTGTGAGTGACCGCTGCCAACAGCTATAAAAACCACACTACTGTCTTGTCTCCCTCACAGTCACGGACACAGGGCTGACAGGTAACCTCTCAGTTTCGACCTTCGACCTTTCTCCTCGCTCCTTCTGCCGCCCCCTTCCTGCCCTCCGTCCTGCATGGCTGAGCACACACACACACACATCAGCAAGTACCCTGCAGGGTCTCCTCTCCTTCAGCCGAACGGTGCACATGAACGCGATTTAAAAGAGAACGAACAAAAAGCAAAGAACTCTCTGGAGTGATGAGAATCTTTGGGACCAGAAAGGCGTGAGGAGATGCGTCACGTGGAGAAACCCTGCATTCATTTATGGTTGTTCCTTCAAGGATAAGGCTGGTGATAGTGCATATTATTCTTATTGTCAGTAAACCACATGTGCAGACCAAACACCATCAGTGAATGTACAGTATATATCTACTAAGTGTTGTGTGTGTATCTAAGCCTGATATATCTTCTTCCTCTGTGCCATAGAGCTCCACTAGAAACTATTAAAAACACATCAGTGAGCCTCACTGTAGCACTGGGTGACACATTTCTCCATCCCAATGATCACGCACACTGTAGTTCATTCTGACTCAATCCCGCGTGCACAATCTTGCTGTTACAGACACACTACAGCACCAGATGTGGATTCATCCGCTGCTGAAAATAATCCCCAACAAATGTACTATTTCCTCCTGAGTCTCCTTTTAGAAAAATGATGTGAGGCATTTTCAAAGAAGTATGTCGTCAAAGGAAACCAATGGGCTTTGAGCTGAGAGACACAGACAGGAAGTCATTGAGAGACGGACTAGCACGTTGTTGGTGCGGGTCTTTATACGGGACTTGTTGACAAAATGATCAATGCATCGAATCCTGAAGGTGTTTGGACTCCGTTCTGCTTTACCTCGTGCCTGCAGGGCCTCAGTGGATCCTCCTCATGGCTTTGCCTGCACTGTTGAGTCCATGTTATCCTTGTGTTTGCATTCTTTCCTCCTCCAACTGCAAAACACTTCATTTTGCTGTATGTGATGGTGCTGCATCTCCTTCATGTGGCTGTTATAGAACGTGTGTTTAAATATGAGTGTTTGTTGTTGATGTGTTCATCTCTTTATTCCCCCTCTCTGTCTGTCCCTCAGGACGGATGGCAGACGCTGGTCTCTGGCCTCGCTGCCTTCCTCAGGCTATGGCACCAACACTCCCAGCTCCACTGTCTCGGTAAATATCTTACCTTTATTCTATAAGTATTTTATAATGAAAAAATAAAAATGCTCTCTGCTGCCTCTGACTTTACTGCAAAGCAACAGGCCGACAAATCCTCCCTCGGCCGTGATGCACTCCGTTCTCCTTCCTTCCTTCCTTCCTCACCTCTGATGCCCTCAAGTGTACTTCTGCCTCCCGCTCCGTTTCTCCTCTTCTTCCTGAGACTTATCATCAGTCCCTCTGGTCTAATCCCTCTCCTTTATCCTATGCAGTTCCTTCATCCCCCTTCTTGAAACCCCGGTGTGCAGGTTTCTCTGTGCCTGCACACTGTGTAGAATGAGGCTCAGCATGCTTCAAAGGCAGTGAGGGGAGTTAGCTGGCCGTGCGAGCTCTTAACGCGTAGATCCAGACTGCTAGCATGCCTGCTAGCTCCCTGTATGTACAGAGGAGGAAATAAATGACTCGCTAGATGAAAAGGACTTCCCTCGGTGCCTAGTAATGATAAGTTGAAAGTGGGGTACATTTTAACGTATGACTACTCTTTCACAATCCTTGTAAATGATGTGTGTTTTGGTCCTACTTCACCTTTAAGTAGTCCTTTAGAATAACGTTGGAGCAAAGCCCTATATATGCATCCCAGACGTCTAATAGAACTTCACTGTAAATGAACACACAAAATCTCCAGTATCTGGTGAGCTCTATGTAGCTCCTGTATGCAACAAAGAAGGCCTATGGGCCAGATGAATCAACGCAAAATCATTTTTAAATGTGACTTTCATCATCTCATCACACCAGCACGCATTAAGTGGCACATCTGGAAGAGTATCAGTCATCGTAGGTCGCTCTCTTTGTGACGTCACCCAAAAACCAGTGATGAGATTGCAGGCTCCAGTCACGCAAACACCATGAAGAGAGGAAGACGGTGAGGAAAGAGGCGTGCAGATCTGTGGACATAGATCTAACAGAGATCACAGTAAATGTAATGCTGTCTGTAGCTGCAGGTGAAACTTTCCATCTGGAGGTGCATGCTTTACATAAAGCTGCAGAATTAGTTGAACGATAGATGTTCATGATCTGGACTAATATTTTATCCATGCTGTACCTGGCATGACTTCAGGTATTTGATCACTAGTACTCACACTCAAGGCTCTAAATCCCGGGTACAGGGCTAGAAACTGTGAGAAAAACTTCCCCTCACCAAGCTCCTGTCCGACCCCTGAGTGTGACCCGCATTCTCCCTGTCCTGGACCAGCCCCAGCCTGTCTTAGCCTAGCTCCAGCCTAACCCCCGCAGTAGCTCCAGCGCTGGTTGTAATCTGTGCTCCCTCTGTGCTCCTCCTCTCACAGTCCTCCTGTTCATCTCAGGAGAAGCTGCACCAGCTGCCCTTCCAGCCCACGCCAGACGAGCTGCACTTCCTCACCAAACACTTCAGCTCCGAGAGCATCACGGACGAGGAGGGCCGCCGCTCCCCCGCCATGAGACCGCGCTCCCGCAGCCTCAGGTAGGGGATCTGTCATGAGTTACATCGTACAAACCAACCCGCAACCCCGTCAAGACAGGTGGGAGCGAGTAAGTCTCCCCCCCATCTCTGGTCTCAGCAGCCTGTCCTTCGTCTCCGCTTCTTTACGGGGAGATATTGAATTCTTTCGTCGTCTCAGATGAAAGAAGGCGAGACCGAGTTGCGTGGTGTGTATCTGATTAGAGTCCCACTGTGTTTGCTGATTGATGTCAGGCTGTGCGTGTGTGTCTGTAGGTGCTTGTGTGTGTGTGTGTGTGTGTGTGTGTGTGTGTGTGTGTGTGTGTGT